GGGGGGGAGGGGGGAAGCAACTGCATCTGCCACTTGGCCATGCTTGTGGGTAGGGGATGCTGGGAGATCTGAACACATTACACTCTAAAAATAGAAGAAAAAGGTAGAGTCCCTCTGTGGGAGCACAGCCAGGGTCACCCATTGGGCACCATGTGGAGCACCTAGCCTAAGATAGAGGGGCAAGAGGTGAGAGGGGCATGGGACCCGGGCCTCATCCCTGCTGGCCAGATGCCCTCCAGGAAAGGTGAGCTGGGGCTCTGAAGGGGGGTGGCATCTGGCTAAGGTAGGACTGTGGGGAAAGACATACTTGATGCAGACTTTGGGAGGCCTAAAGTATTAGCTGGTCCCAGGCTGTGCAAAGACTCCTAAGGGACTCTCCCTCCTTCAATAAGTCCAGCCTTCAAGAGCAAAACAGCTCCAACAGGGGGTAGCAGGGACAGGTAATAATGAAGCAGAGGTAATGATGGGAGAGGTATCATGGCCCTTCCTTACCTTCTGGTACTCCTGGAACCAGAAGGTAAGGAAGGGCCATGATAAGACAGGGAAGGCAGGGGTGGAAGATGTCATATTGGAGACAAGACAGCCACTCGTGTCAGGCTCCCACTACAGGCCCGGCCCACCAGTCTGCCGTCATAACTCTCCCCCATCCCCACTGCCCCCATATAAGGACCTTGGGCTAAGCCTTCCCACCACCACCTGGGCACATTGCTCCTCTTTCTTCTACTCTAACGCTGCTGACCCTCCAAGACCTCAGCTCATGAGCCACCCCCTGGATCAGCCTAACTTAATAATAAGCACCTCCCCTCTAGGGGTTAGGGGCATGGGGAATACCAACCAAGGGTCAGCCCAGGGCACTTCACATGGATTCTTCCACTTAACCCTCTCCCCAGCCTGCCAGGTTTGAATTCTGACCTACATTTTATAAATGAAGAGATGGGGGCTTGGGGGCAGGACCTGAACTCAGGTCCCCTAACTCAGTTCTGTGCTGGACCCAGTGCCCCCTTGTTTCTTATAAGGGCACCACAGAACCAGTTACACACAAGCACGGCCTGTAAATTGAAAACAGCAGTGCCCACAAGGGGGTCTTTGGAGAGAACATTCTAGTTCACAATCTGGACATGGCCACCTTGATGTGCTCACTCTGGAAAAGTAATCAAACTAAACTTTTAAAATATCACACCAATCATTTGCATACTTTTCGGTATACATGTTATACTTTCAAAAGTAAAAGTTTAATTTTAAAATAGCCATGCCTCAATGAAAGCATTATCTATATGCAAATGGTACAGATGCCGCTGGACTGTATTAAGTACAAACTCATTCAAGTGTGTTTTCCTGAAACCGCAGAGAAACAGTGGCTGTTTCTCATTAACTACTTGTTATATTGATACATACTCAGAACACAACTACAGTTAGGAGAGGCGACAATATGACATTAGAAAGGGGTGTTCACGCAGTATGTTTTCTGAACAACTCACTAGGCCCTTGCCCCTCCTAGTCACATCTTATGGGGACTTATCATGTGTTCAGTCACTTCCCTCCCCCACCAATGTGTGAACTTGAGGGCAAGGCTCTGTCTCCCCCAACCTGACAGGGGGACCACTCATGCATCCTCAATAGTAAGTAGCCCAGGGCTGCCCCAAATGGGCAGCCAATGTTCTCCAGCCAAGAGAGAGGGCATGGAGTTGGGTGAATAGGGGATGGAGGAAGTGGAACTGCACAGCCCCTTTCCCACGCTGTCCCCCGACCTTGGGCTGGCCCCCTCCGCTGCTGAGCAGAGGGCAGGAACTTGCCCTACTTTCACCAAGACCATCCCCACCCACAGGCCTCCACACCCTTTCCTCAGGGTGGGCAGAGGGAGTGAGCTTTGCCTCCTCTCTCAGAGAAGTGGCCAGGGATCTTCCCCTTCTCAGCCCCAGGACCTACGCCTGCCCTGACCTGGCCACTTCCTCTTCCTGCCCTGGCAGTGGGCAGGGGGATTTGTGCTGGGGGCTGGGACACACTGCCTACTGCCACAAGTGTCTTGCCATGGGCAGCTCTGAGAACTGAGGATGCAGAATGAGGTTCAGGCCGCTGGCTCTGATCTCCAGGGCAAGGGACTGGCCCAGGCCCGGCCATGACCACATACATATGTTGTTATCTCCTTGAAAACAGGCTCCCAAGGATGTGAGCAGGTTAGTCACTGCCCCCCACCTCTCACCCCAGCCCCTGGCAAGGGTAAAAGATGGAGGAGCTCCCAGAGGCATCTGTGACCAGGAGCCAGCAAACCTGGTATGTCACCTGGGGCCAGTCCCTTGCCCTCTCCAAGACTGTTTCCTCGTCTGTCCAATGCAGACAGCACCACAAGTCCCAGTGCTGTGAGAATTCACTCTGCTAACAGAAGGGGGAGGCTCAACAGTGAAATGGGGCACTGCCTGGGGGCTGGTACTCTGGGGGCCTGCAGCAGGATCCTAGGGCAGGCAGGGGAGACAGACACCAGGGTCCTCAGCTCAACTGGGGAGCCGGCACCCCCTTCTTTAAGAACCAGAGAAAAACAGTAACCTCATTCTCACCTCTCCCCCTCCAGTGCTAGAGTGGAAGGAAATGAGAGTGTGCCCAATGATGTAGCTCCACCCAGCACCAGAAAATTCCAGACTCTGTATGCAGCAAGCTCTCAATGCTCTGAAGAAAGCTAGCTAATTAAGGAGAGCAGGCCTCTCTCCACAGAGGTCATCTTCAATCCAGTGATTTCTCAACCCCTACTCCCCTCTCAGGCCAGAAGGAATTAACATACAGCACAGAGGAGTAAGATTAGACTTCAGGAAGAACAGCCAGAGCTGGGAAATGCAGACAAGATCATGGAGTTCCTTTGGGAAAGGTCAGCCCACACCTCACTTTCACCCTCTTCAGAACCCCTTCTGTGCCCCTCCATCTGCTCACCTCCTGGCCAGCAATTCTCTCCTCCACCCTTGGAGGGTCTCCTACCATCCTGCAGAACATCAACACCCACCAAATTCTCCTGCCCCTGCCTAGGGTCTCCACCCAGCCACCTTGGGCAAAATTTCAAATTCCAAAATAAAAACCGTCTGATAATGAGCCCCAGCCGGAAAGACTGATGCATTTTCCTATTGTTAAAGTATTTTTAGTCACAGGCTCTGGATTCGTTTAGAGACTCACGTTCAGAAAGGGAAAAAGGTTGTTTTTTTTTCAAGAACTGAGAAGGAGAGTACAAGAGCTTCCCACGTAAGGAGCTGCCACTTATTCCATGCTGGGCTGGAGCCCCTGGCCCGGGGCCTGGGAAGCATGTTTGTGGCAAGCTGGCTGGCGGACCTGCCAGACCTCACTCCAGCTCTGCTTCTTAGGCACCAAAACCAGCTGGGAAGCCAGGCAAGGAGAGTAGCGCAGGGGTGGGGGGCTCAGGGAAGCCAAGCCCAGGGGTCTACCTTCTAGTCCCAACCAGCTGTGGGGCCCAGGGGCCCTACTCAAGAACAAATGCTGAAGTACCCCGATGGACACCCAGCTCACTCCAGCGTCCCTCCGGGGCCTGAGCACTCCAAGGCCTTGTCCAGACCCAGACCTGGGCGACAGAATAGGAGGCTCAAGACCCTGTTGGAAATCTCCGAGGAAGGAGAGCCATGACACCACAACTGCCAGTTCTCAGTCACAGTGTTTCCAAGTCCAACTCCCATCATCCAACTGCAGTCAAACCCTTACTCTCATTCCTCGGATGTCAGCCACCCTCGCTCCCTCCTCCTCCCCCGCTCCTCTAAAGGATAAAGAAACCACAAAGCAGAAAGTCACAATGGAGAAAGATCCAAATAGCCCAGCTCTTCTGCCTCAGTTTCCCCATTCATAATACTTACCAGCTTCCTCTTCACGATCCGCTTTGACTCAGATCCTGATAGCTGCACAGAGGAAGAATCCCAGGCCTGGTTTGGGGCTCTTCCTAGCGGCCTCAGGGAGCCCTGAGGAAGAGACGTGACTACCCAGTCAGCTTGTCCTGCCCAGCTGAGGCTGTGCACCAGCTGAGCAGGCTCAGGACTTGGAGCTGTCTCCAAGCCAGCATGTCCTCCTCTGTTTATATAGCAGAAACCAGAGCCTGCCTCTGGGGACAGGGGGAGCTGCCTCAGGGCCCTCTTGGCTGAAGCCTGACTTTGGCCCAGGTCAGCAAGAGCCCAAAATAGTCAACTGACGGGAGCCCCAGTGTGAGCGTGACCCTGGGCCCATGCCCAGGCCTGGCAGACAGGTGTCCACGTCACAAGACCAGCAGCTCTTGCACTCACGGGGCCCCAGCTGGCAGCCCCTCAGGGTGGCCTTGGCAGTGTATCTGGCATGAAAGTTCCATCCAATCACCCAGGCAATGAGGTGAACACAGGAAATTCTGCCATGGGGGCTGCTATGTACCCAGAGGGAATGCTGGGAGCTCAGGATGCCAGGTCTGAGCTGAGGGTAGAGGTGGGGGCCGAGTGAAGGGAAAGATACCTGGCCCGCTGCTGTGATCTTCACTCACGTGCTTCCCAAATCATGATCTCCAGCTGACCAGGGACACCTGCTTCTCCCACTTACAGTAATTCCTCTTCCTGTCCCCAGCCCAAGGTTGGTGGCACAGAGCCCGCTGCCAGCATGAGGCCAGGTGCACACCCACGACAGCCCCTGGAAAAGGAGGCCCTGCTTCCCAGGGCTTTTCCTCTCTATATGAAGGCTCCACCCTCCCCATCCCAGCCACCTCTCTGGGACTCTCTACACCCTGAACACCAACTCCCCAGGAGGCAACAGTCTTTTGGGGACTAGGGGAGATACTGAGCCAGCTCCTGTTTCATCTGAGATCGCTCAAGGCCTGAGGGGGGCTGTTGCTCAGAGATGGCTCTCTGTTCCAGGGAAGGAAAAGAGGAATCACTGGGTCCCTGTCCAGGGTGCCAGGCTGAACTTCTCCCTCAGGTAAACATGGTAACCAGGACTATGGTGCCCTTGGCCTCATCCCAGTATCTCAGGTCCCCAGGGAAAGGGCTGGTGGAAATCTTATTCCCATACCCCACCTCTCACCCGCAGATGGGTTTGTGCCTTCTCTGGAAGCATGCTCAGACAAGAAGGTGTGTCCTCACAGCAGATCAGGCCTCTGGGCTTGCCTGGAATCCAGGAGGCCTGGATTCTAAGCTTGGCTCTACATGTCCTCACTGTAGGACCTTGAAAAGTCACTTCTCCCCTCTGTAACTCAGTTTCTTCATCTATAAGGAAAGGAGGTAAGCTAGATGGCCAAGGATCCCTCTGGCCATGTCCACAAGACTGAGATGTTCCCTCTCAGGAATGCTGGATGAATAGTGGAGGGTCTATTCCTGTCCTTGGTTAGCAAGATCCTCCCCATTCACAGAGGCACCTCCCCATACCAGACCCCACAGGACCTTTAGGACTGCCATAGTAGGGAGGGGGTGGTCAGCACCTTTCAGGGAGAAATGGGGTAAACCCCACCTTCCCTTCATGCACTTCCCTGGTGCAGTGTCTGCACCCTAGAAACAAGCCAGCGTCCCATCCCCCATGTCTGCCCCACTATGCTCCCAGCCCGGCTTTGAACTACCCAACCCCACCCCCTCAGCTTCCTGGAACTAGGCACATGCTGCCTTGTGCGCAGCTGTCATCCCCCAACCCCCACCATCACCCCCTGTCATAGGACCCAGA